TCATCTTCCGAAGCTTGCGTGGCACACTCCTGTTGGCCACGTAGATGACACATAGGCAAACACATCAGATTTGTAATTTTTTTTACCATTCTGATTTAAAATAAAAAAAACCCTACCTTTTAACCCTCTTCATCTTCTTTGTAGCTCCTCCTCTATTTCAAACTTCTTCTTTGCGAGAGCTGGGTCGGCGCGAGCAGAGGGCAGATGAGAGACTGCGATAGCTCCGACGCGTCGGAGTGGCGACGACGTTGGGTTTTAGTAACGCGGAGCAGCGTTGGTTCGTGGTGACTTTGGTATTCATTGCGGCGAGGATAGTGGTGCGACGGCGTGCTTCGGAAAAAAATTGTCGAGGAAACCAGGTGAGTATATATGTTGGGTTGTTTTAGGGTTTGATGTACTTGATTCTCATTCTCCATAATGAATGGGTTTTGTGGCAGCAATTAAAACATGTCGGGAAGGAGATTCGGCCAAAGCACTTGTGACTCCAATTCTTCCAACTCTCGAATCGTGAAGTGTGGGCATAATATACCAGCAAAGTCTTATGTTTCAGGGACAGAACTCAATCCGGGGAGGGGATTCTTCTGTTGCCCATATTGGAAGGTAATTTAGGCATTATTTGTTTAGTTGGGGGATTTTATTCACAAAGAACAGCTCACTTCATCTTGATTTATTTGTCAGGAGCCTTCAAAAAATTGTCTATTCTGGCGTTGGGTGGATCAGCGTAATGATGAAGAGGAAACACCTAGCTCCAATGTGATTGTGGCAGATGATGAAGACATTAGGACGAAGTATGCTTCGATGGAGATTCATGTTACGAGCTTGAAGGAGAGATTGAAACTTGCTGAAGAGAAAGCTGAGCGAAGGAAGCAGGCTAAAAAATGTCTTTATGATAAGATTCTAACAGTAAGTAAACAACGATAGCATCATCTTACAAACATACTATTCAAACATCCTAAAATTGTTCGACATAAGATGATCAATATCATAGTCTGAACCATACACATACATAATTGTGTTGGTCAGTTACAAAGGCTGTCATTGTCTAGTTTTCCAAAATTAATCCAATGTTTGGGAATCTTACATGATTTCCTCAAGATATAAGGCAACCATATTTTCCCAAAATAAAGATGATATCCATAATATCCATAATCTACTACGTTAAACCTACATATGATAATACCACCCATTTACAACCACTTTCGGCTACTGATGTTGGGTCGACTGTGTCGCTGGTGGCTGTGATCCTCCTTCAGCAATCACCGTAGGCGTTGACCCGGTACCAAGGTTGCCGTAAGGCCTGCCACTTCTCAACACCCTTCCCGGTCTATCTGGACCATTTAGTATCACATACGTGTTTCCTAAATCTGTGTGCAACACACCAATTCCTTGTTGGCCTGCAAATAATTGAAATGAGTTACTATACCGCTAACATTGTTAAGTTGTCGAGTACAATGAAACGAAGAACTTACCATCCTAACTTCTCTATCTTGAGCACGTCTACTAGTGACAACACGATTGATGTGTGCTTCCTACCATGAACAAAGAAAAGAGCATTCAACAACCACTTGATAAGTTCATTTACGTGTTATCTAACATTCCATTCTATCATGAAAGCTAATTTGCGATGGTCCTCTTACCTGAATTCCGCCAACTAGAGGGCATGTTCTGGCATTGTGGTAAGCTTTCCTACACTTTGAACATAACCCTGGTCTTCTTTTCATTGCCGAGGGTTGACCTTCCTCATTTGCAGCATCCACTCCATCCCTCTCCTGCCTCCTTCAAACATCCCTCCCTCCACCAGTGGCAGCAACTCCTCCATCCCTATCCTGCCTCCTTCGAACATTCCTCCCTCCACCAGTAACAACCCCTCCATCCCTCTCCTGCCTCCTTTGATCAGACCTTCCACCACCACCAGTATCACCCCTTGGACCTTCAACGTTCCTACTTCCTTCTCCTCCTTCCAAATTCTGCACTTTTATCCAAACACATTTTATATGAAACGATGGTTACAATTTGCAAAACTGATCCAAACACATACAACACCAAACTTACCCGTTCTGCCCGAAGAACCGGACAAGTCCTCACATTGTGGGCAGGAGCATTGCACTTCTTACAATACATTACAGACCGTCTCTTCCTCATAGCAGATCCATCACCGCCATGTCGAACTGTCTCAATCTCCCCTAGTGTTTTCCTCCGTTGCTTCTTCGGACGTCCAGGTAAGACCTTGAATTTAGGAGGATAAATTGGATAGCCTACTGATTCTGGCCAAGCTTGCTGGCCTTCAATGGTAGGAATACCAAATTCATATGCCATCTTGTATGACCCAACAGTGTAGTAAGGAGACACGAATTCACTTGGCTCTATCCTATTCCATTGAAGGCAAGCAATTGCATGTACATATGGAATTCCAGTCAATCCCCACGAACCACAGCTGCATGTATGTTCGTCCAAGTCCAACACGTACCCCTTACGGTCAATGGAAACTTCAAACTTTTCGTCCAAGCCTGGAATCACTTGACACATCTTGGCCAAATCCACACCCTTTCTAATCCTCTTCTCTATCCTAGGACAGAGGCGATCCCTCCAACCACCAGCTTGCACATTTTTTTCAACTATTCGCACCATGAGCTTCCTACGGATACCCTCGAGCATGTTAATGATCCTGTCTTCAATCTCCTCTAAGATATAACCATTGAAGGTTTCTCAAATATTACTTACCACCGAATCACATCTGGAAGTGTGACTCATAAAAGCCCTGCAAAAGGTTTCTGGTTCATGATCCAGAAAATCTTGAAGTAGAGATGGATCTGCCCCACTTTGTTGAATCTCCCCCATGACTTTGATGACTTCTTTGTAGTCGTTGATGTTTGTTGCATACACTGCCTCCCAGTAAAGTCTCTTTATGCCTTCACCCTATGGTTAACCTTCCAGTTGGCGAAAACATGACGTGCACACTTTCTTAGCGATGCCCCAGGTAAGCAACTGTTTAGTGCTTGCACAAGACCCTACAAATAAGAACATAATGTACTCAAATCTCATGCAAAGCAAACATTCCACACACGACAAACTTTCTAAAACACATACAAAACATGTCGAACATTTATCTTGTGTTGGTCAGATATGACTGTCCACCCACGACCATCAATGGTCCTAAGATCTTGCTGTAAAATAGAAACAAACCACTTCCATGTTTCACTACTTTCCCCTTCTACTAAAGCCCAAGCAATAGGGAACATCCTGTTGTCTCCATCTTTACCAACAACACTCAAAAGCATCCCTTTAACCTCTCCTTTAAGAAAGCACCCATCCAAAGAAAACATTGGTCGGCAACCCCTAGAGAAACCCCTTCGCAGCCCACTAAAACCAATGTACAACCTCTTGAACAACACTCAATTGGGCACATTAGACGGGTCAACCTCTAGAATAAAAGTACCGTCTCTATCCCGCTCTTTCAAAGCGCCAACATACCTCCTAATAGGGTTGTTAGTCGGTGCGGTTTCGGTTTAACCGAACCGCACCGTCGGTTAGTCGAGACCGAAACCAACCCGTTTCCCTCAACCGAAGCCAACACCGACGCTATCCTCGGTTAACCGGCAACCGAAACCGCCGGTTTCGGTTTGAGCGGGCGGTTAGCCGAAACCGCCAGAGTCAAGCCTGCCTATATATATAGTGACCACAATCATGCCTGCCCAACGACATAAACCTGCTCACTCTGTAGAAAAACTGAAACAACATTCTAAAGGCAAGAGGGAACACTACCAATACCAAATATGGAGACCAATGTTCTGTCCCACAAATCCGAAATCCCTACTAATGTTTTTGTTGTGTTGGAGACTTACATTGGTGATGGTGAATCGGTGATAGAACAGGGCAGAAGACGGCGGGAGAACAGGGCAGACGACGGCGGGAGAATAGGGCAGACGACGGCGGGATTCCGGGGCAGAAGACGGCAGCGTCGGCAGGAGTCGAGTTCTGGGAGGGAGTTCGGCGACGACGACTTCTGTTGGAGGACAGCGGCGACGCGAAGGCTGGGAGCGGGAGGGCGGCGATGAGATGAAGGCTGGGAGCGAGAGGAGTGAGGACGGCGCTGCGACGGCCGACGAGCTCGACGGGGACGACCGGACGAGGCGACTGGCGGGTGGCGGCGAGGGTAAGGATTACTGATTAGGTCAGAAATGGGGAGGACGAGCGGTGGGTGAGGAGACTGGGGAACGAAATGCGATCCGATTTCGCCATTTAGGTCAGGGAGGAGGGGACTGGGGAGAGGCCAAAGCCAAACGACGCTGTATTGAGGTAAGTGTGTCGGTTTTTGCGGTTACTTTGCACGGTTTCGGTTTTAACCGCTAACCGCTCGATTTGCCCCACGGCCGATGTTAGCCAACCGCAACCGGCAACCGCAAGCAACCGACGGTTTTCGGTTTGTCAGTAAACCGACGATTTCAGTTCGGTTTCGGTGGTAACCGAAAAACCGGAGACCGATTAACAGCCCTACCTCCTAATCTTGTTATACTCCTCTATCAACGACCCTCCTAACATCTGCTTGGCATATGTCCTCTCCCTATAGCATTGCCTCCTCGAAATTTTAACATTATGCGTTTGCCTCAGCTCCAACATCATATTCTTTACCTTCCAATCAGGCTCCCTTCGAAAACGTTCAATGTACTTCTTAGCCACCCAAGTTGCATTTGCAACCCGCATCCGGACAGCCCCACGACAAGTGTGATCCTTCCCAAGATTCTTCACAATAAACAAAGAACGAGCATGCCAACTAGCATAGATATACCACCCACACTTATGGCGACATTCAGCTCACTTCTTATTCTTGTCACTTCTCGTCCACTTGATATCGGCTCCAATTGAGATGGAATGCTCCTCCACTTCCTCTTTGAACTGCTCCGGGGAATTGAAGCTCATTCCCACCGTGAACTTTAGTGTAGAATGTTCACATCTGGGGTCGTAGTGGGGACCATCATAAATAGAATCAGCTAGCTCTTCGTCTACATTCCCACGAACATGTCGTGAGTTAACCGAACCTCTATATTTTGATTCGGGTAGAGTTCGGTTTCCCACTTGTTCTGCCCTTTCATGTGGTATATCTTCAGCTTCGGGTTGAGTTTGGTTTCCCCTTGTTCTGTCTGTACATGTGGGATAGCTTCAGCTTCTTCATCTTCACGTCCCATAGCTTGTGAGGGAACATCCTGTTCGGTCTTCTCATAATCAGTTACAGATTCCTGCTCCGTAGCTTCACCAGTTGCATCTTTAGTGGTATGAACCCTCATCTGTCGTGCTCTAATCCCTTGATTCTCCAAAGCATCGACGAACTCATCATCAGAAGTGCGCACATCATCATCCATAAGATGGATGATGTCTCGATTCTGTGACTCCTCATGACCTTCTGTATCACCGTCATCACTGAAGTCTCCACCAGCATCTTCATTATCTCCAACTTGAGTTTCTATACCTTCCATAAAGATAACGATTTTCCCATTTTCAAAACCATGAATCAATCCATCCATAACCTCGGTGTCGGACCTTATTTCAACCAGACCATTTCCCAAATTATACGATGGAGCCATATACCACAAGCGCTCGACCCTAGCGTATTTAAAGTGGACGACCACAAGCTGTTGTAACTGGAAGTAGGAGATGTAGTCTAGGTCCATGTCAACTTCTTCAATCTTCCCATTTAGGTAGGGAGGAACCTTCTCATAATAGTCCATTTTCCCACCATGGTGGACTATCAATTCCAAGTACGTAGTCATCCTGCATGTTACATAACATGGTTACTATTACAAATCCTCGATTATATTAATCTAATCGCAGTCTAGGGTCAATAATTTTCTACCGTTAAAAGCATTCCCCAAAAGTTGCTAAAAGACAACTTTGCAATCTACCAATCCACAAACCCGTGACCTTTCTGAATTGAATATTACAACTCCAAGACAACCAAATCACTATACATGGATGGAAATGACCAGAAGGTGCTGCTGGAATTGAATTCATACCTGTTGCTCAACTCGCAAAGGGGGGTAATTTCGTCTTCACGGCTTCGTCATGGTCCCTGCTTTCCCCTTCTACTTCCAGTGAATCTTACAGAGCAAAGCCACTTCGTAGCTACCACATTTACTTTCTTGTACGATTACCACCTTCCTTCCGCTTCCCAACTACTTAATTGACCTTCAAATAGCTCCACAACTCCAGAAAAATGGACACGCCCCTTTCGCACCAAAACCCTAGAAATTTTGGGCGAAACAGAATCCCATACCGTCCGATACCTCTGCTAGTAGAGGCATCATCTACTCCTCCCAAGACGATGATACAAGCACTCACGCAAGGTCGCCGACGATGATTGCAGAAGAAATCGAGGATGGGTGTCGAAGCTGCCGTCCGAAAAGGTTCCTCCCTGCCCGCCGCGCCCGAAGGTTTCGAAGCTGCCGTCCGAGGATGTTCGTCCCTGCGCCGCGCCCGATGTTCGAGATGTTGACAGACTGCGGAGCTGGCGAATCGACCCACTGCTGTTCGTCGGGTTGGAGAATCGGAGAATCCGGAGAAGGGTTAGGGTTCTTGAGTTTTTTATGGGGAAGTCGAGGGAAGGGTAAATGTGATTCGAGTTCGGGTGAAACCCCGATTTCATTTGCCTTTTTATTTTAAATTTGACATGTAAACACGGGCCCGGGTTTGTAAATAAAAAAAAGCCACCTAGACGGACACATCAGCGATGACCTGTCAAATAATTCCAAATTAACGGTCAACGGTAGTCAACCATAACGGTAAAATACTTTGGGACACAATTGTCATATCAAAGTCTTTAGGACACAAATGACACAAAGTTAATAGTTCGGGTTTCCCATATTAGCCCTAAATACTAAAAGTCAAGCGTATCTTCCTTTTAGACACCTATATAAGCAAAAATTAAGCTCATTATTGTTCCTATACTATATTTTTCTTCTAGAGTGTAGACAACAAAACATGGACAATAATTTAAATATAACTCGTAAATGAAAACCTAAAAGAGAAGAATTTTTTTCACCCTCTATAATTGCTAAGAGCCTAAGACAATACACACAGACACACCAAATATACATTAATCTCATACCATTGACATTAACAATAGATGTTTTTCTCAATAATGTTATGTTATACTAGTTAGTCCAGTTAATTAATTAACCAAACTAATTAAACTTTAATTTAGTTAATTTAATTGTTGTATTAATTTGATCGGTTTGGTTATAATAATTATGTACTTCATGGTTAGTAGAATGTAAATTTAACTAGTTTGTTAATTACCATAATTATCATTTGAACACTGATGAGTAGATCACCAAATAACTTGAATTTCAAAATTGTTTGAGTCTAACTGGGAGTAGGAGGGAGACTCAGGTTAAAGAGGGGTGAGACGAGTAAGCAATAGGGTAATCCGAACAGAGGGAATTCTTTAGAGAGAGAAAGTTTCTTAGTATAGAGTGAGAGAGTAAAAATGCGATCCCCTTTACCCATCGGAGTAAATGCTCTATTTATAGGCTACATTGTGGTGGGTAGATATTTAATGGTGACATGACTACTGAATCTGTCAAACATTTAGACCATACTTAGGCCATGATTATACCTAGTACTAGGATGTGACCGCTCCTTCAGAGGATACAACGTCGTTCGCTGGGTTTCCTAGCCCGGTCTGGGTTGAGCGAAACGACGCCGGCCTAGGTAGAGCAAAACGACATCGTCTAGCACCTTCGGTACTCGCGGGCGATGAAATCGGCGAGGTTTGAGCCTTGATTGCTGGCCTCGGCGCGTATTAGATGTCATATTATGATAGCTCGACTGGCCATTTTTTCATCCGCCCTGACACTTCCATCGAGTTTAGAATTCTTTTGAGCGGCATGTTGGTGAGAATTATGATCACGTGTGATTGGAAGTAGGGGCGTAGTTTCTACGATGTGCTTACTAGCGCTAAGGCGGCTTTATCGAAAGGGGAGTATCTTGTTTCCGCGCTTGCCAATGTTCGCGATGTGTAGTAACTTTTGCGGACACAGACAAGTCCAGAAATAACTTTTCATTAAGCCCGGGGCGGTCAATACTGGAGGTGATACCAAGTACAGTTTGAGCTCATTGAGTGCGGCTTCGCATTCTGGGGTCCACTCGAATCGAGCACCGTTCTTCAAGGTTTGGGGATCTGGTGTGTGGCGCCCGCGTTATTTAGGCCAAACGGCATTCCTGTGAAACAGAAATTGCCGAATGGCATCATGAAGGCGGTTTTCTCCTCGTCTTTGCGGCTCATTGGGATCTGGTGATACCCTGAAAACATATCTAGGAACGATAATGTTTCGTGGTTGGATGTCGCGGCGATCAGTTGGTCGATGCGTGGTAGGGGGTATGGGTCTCCCGGGCATACTTTGTTGATGGTGGTGTAGTCTACGCACATCCTCTATGCGTCTGAAGCTTTTTTTACCAGGACTACTTTTGCCAACCACCTTGGGTATTTTACTTCCCGGATGAGACTAGCGGCGAGTAGGCGCGCCACTTCTTCTTCTATAGCCTTCAGTTTCTCGCCCGTGAACGTACGCCGCGCTTGTTGTTGGGGTTCTGCGGTACTGGGGACCGCGAGGAAATTTGCGCCACATGCCTTGGCACTCCTGGCATGTCTTCTGTGCACCAGGCGAAGAGTTCTTGGTACTCTTGTAGCAGTTTCACCAACGGCTCAATCATGTCGTCCGGGACGTGAGTCGAGATGAGAACTTTTTTGTTTGGCTCTTCCGAATTCAGCGCGACTTCAAAGTCAGAGTCCATTGACTCTAGGCGGGGATCGTCGGCGCGGTGTCGATGATATTGGTCTGTCGTGGTACCGCGACGGGGCGCGGGATTTGTTATTTGCTCTCGGACCATGGTGTGCCGCGCGACTCCCCAGTTCCAACCTTGGTGGGGAATTTGAGTTTTTGGTGGCATGTGGATGCTAGTGCCATGAATTTCGCAAGGAATGGGCGGACCAATATGTCGTTGTGTGGTGAGTCGCAGTCTACAATAGTAAACTTGACTTGCTTTGAGAGGCGCGGTTCGTCGTCTCCGATTACAACTTGTAGTGTGACTTCTCCAATGACCGCTACTCTCGTTCCGGAGAATCCCACTAAGTTGCCTTGCGCGCGCTGGATTAGTCGCGGATCTATGTACATCTGATCCGGCGTGCGCTTGAACAAGACGTCCACCGCGCTCCCTCCGTCTATCAGTAGGCGGTGTACTTTGCACGCGGCGATCAACGCCGTTATGGTGAGGGGTTCCTCTGGCACTATCCCTCGTGGGAGCTCTGAGTTGCTGAATCTCAAGTCACATTTGGTGGTGGCGCTTGTTGTTGCGCATTCCACCGCGCGGTCTCATGTTGACTTTTTCCTTGGTCTGTCGCCCTCAATTGTGACGACTCTTATTTCTTTGCGGACGATGTAAGATCCCGTTGCCTCGTTATAGTCTGCTAGGGGAGGCGGTGGTGGAATGTTTTTATGGTATTTCCGCTCCTTGTCCCCTTTATGCATTCCACTAGGTAGCCTCTTCTGATGAGCGTCTCTATTTCTACGCGCAGGTTGAAGCAATCTTCCGTCATGTGGCCTGATTCTCGGTGAAAGTCATAGTGCTTTATGTGATCGCGCATGTGTGCCAGGGCTTTCCCTGGTGCCGGCCAATTAACGCGGTACCCCTTCTACCTGATTAGGTGGAATATGTTCTTTACTGAGTCGTTGAGGGGGGTGAAGCTCATAGGCGGGCGCCTGTCTAGGGAGCGCCTGCATTGTGGAGGCTCTTGTGGGGCTGGCTGCTTGCCATATCCGCTATGGTACTACGGGAGCGGCAGCTGCGGCTCCCGTCGTCTTTGTTCCTCTCTAGGAGGCCTAGTTGGTTCGTAGCGGCGGACTGATCCCGCTCCCAGGATTTCTTCCAAGGTGATAGCTTTCTCGATCTTCGCTTCCAACTCTAAGGACAGCGTGACGGGTCTTTTTGCCAGCGCGCGCTTGAGTTCTGTGTTGGTGGTGGCTTCCATGAGGTGGTGGGCGGGAGTTTCCGGAGTTAGGTCACGTACCGCCATCGTGGTCCTCGACCATCTGGCGTAAAATGCGCTCAGGATTTCCCCGTCCTTCTGTTTTGAGGTGGAGCGGGCTTCTTTTTTGGGAGGCGAACTTCATTGTGAACAGTAGTATAAATTCCTCGAAGGTGCAGATGATTCCGTTGGGGAGGCGGTTGTACCAATCTAGGCATATGCCCGCGAATGTGGATGGGAAGGTTCTACACAGTGTCGCATTGAAGTTTGTTTGCAGCTGCATGCGGAGGCAGAAGCTACTGACATGGTCTTCCGGGTCTGTTGTCCCGTTGTACGTGGGCACGGCGTGTGGGATTCCGCTCAAGTGTTCCGCCATAATTTCCATGCATAGTGGTTGGTGCAGAGTTCTTTTAGGCGGAGCGCGGTACTGTGGGGAAAGGTGTTGCTCTAAGAAAGTCAGGTCCGCTCTCGCTGGCGGGTCCTGCTCGCGGGATTGTGGGGTCGCTTGTCTGATTGTTTGGTAATATGTGGGCGGTGGGAGCGTCATCGCTGGCTGCTCTAACGTTGCCGCGGTGGTTTCTTTGTTCATTATTAGGGTGATCACTTGATTCATTTTCGCCTGCATGTCCGCGATGACCTCGTTTTGTTTGGTCATTAGTTCGCGGACTTCTTTGGCTGTCAGCTTTGGCTCTTCCTCTTCGATCAAGACCGCGTTGGGGTTGCTAGCTTCCGCGAATAACCTCGGAT